AACAGGAAGTGATGGCAGTAACAGGAAGTGATGGCAGTAACAGGAAGTGATGGCAGTAACAGGAAGTGATGTTAAAGGGGAACACCTGCATGTGAACGACAGCTATCAACACAAACTGTAGAGAAGAATCTGATGTTTCTTTTGATTATTTTGAGTCGGAGTTCAATTAATGTTTCAAACAACAAAGACTGGTGAGTTTGACTTCTTTAAAAAAGTTCCCCTTTGATGTCACTTCCTGTTTTTCTTTGGCTGCGCCGAGTTAAAAAGAAAGCAAACCAGTTATGGAACCAAAAAAAAAGGTAAAATCATGTATTTAATGCCAAATTTCTCAAAAATCTAAATGTTTTCTTGCACTTTTTGTATTTGTAGGACATGCAGGTCACAGGTTATTTAATGTTTTACACAAAGTGCTTCCTGCAGGAAAGGGAAGTGTTTAAAATGAGTGAATGTCTATGTGTAATGTAAAGAATATTTTGTCTTTAAGGTAATTACAGCTTGTTAGTTCTGATACATCACATCTTAAGATAAACACGTTCACCGTGAAACTGGCAATTGATCACCTGATGACCTCATTACTATTCACTCATTAAATGCAATTATTATTAATAAAAAATGGAGTATCTGAGAGTTTTAGTACAAAAACATCAGGCTAATATACACCAACCTTTTTTGTAAATTAAAATCAATGGTCACAAACAAGGAGTGTAGCACAAGCAAACATTCTGAAAGAGAGAAAATGTAGTCTAAAACCATATTTATAAGATATAGATTTTTTTATTTTTCATTCTAAATTTTCCCTCCGTCTCTTTGCTTCTGCTTTCTCCGGCGCTGCAGGGATCGATCGCTGCGCGCCGTAGTAATACAACTAATTTCTCAACTTCAGGCAGCTCAGACGGAGCCGGCCAGGTGGAGGTGGAGGTCAAATGATTCAGGAGTGCTGGAATGAAAAAGGCTAAAGCACTTTGATTACCCACAGACCAGCATGCTATTCCTGACTCCTCTGCTATTTATTTTGACCTTCTTTTCTAAATAAGAGACGACTCTTGTCCACTCTGTACCTATCTTATTTTGAGTTATTTTTTCTCAGAAGCTTCACATTTTCAGCTCTGAAGCAGCAGAATCAGGGAGAATGTGTTTTCTCAACGGGACTCCCGTCTCCTGGATTTGATTGAATGTATACGTGTGGACGCGCACGTCGTCCGACTCCTCAGCCTCACTTTGAGGCTGATTCTATGATTGCTATGAGGTCACCTGTCCACCTCTGGATCCATTAAATAAACAGCTGTAAATATCTTGAACGGTTGCCAGGGCTATTCAACTAAATTGCGCACGGGGCCACAGTTACTGAGAGTCAAGAGCTCAGGGGTCGGACATCCAGGAGTTATTGTCATTGTTTGTTTTATGGTTTAAAATCTAGTTTTATTTAAAAATGAGCTCGTTGGTGGGCCCAACTGAGCTCACCTGTGGGCCTGATTTGGCCCCCGGGCCACCAGTTGAACAGCCCTGGTATAAACTGACATTTTCAGTCCGGACAAACGAATCTCATGCCTCTGTTTTTGTTTTCTGTCGTCTTTAAGGCCACAGAGCTGAAAGAAGATCGCACTCCGTCAGACGCTACAGTGAGGACCACCTTCACCATCCTGTTAATTGACATCAACGACAACGCCCCCACGTTCAACAGCTCCGAGTACAGAGTTCTCATCACGGAGCTGGCGCAGGTCGGGTTCGCCCTGCCGCTCTACATCCAGGCAGAAGATAAAGACGAGGTGGGCGAAACTCCGTCCTATGAACGAACAACGCGCTGGATCTCTGACGTTAGCCCCGTTTACACAGCCATAGTTGGGTTAGGAATCCATCCATTATCTTTACCCACTTCTTTTTGGGTCGCGAGGGGTCACTGATGTCCATATCCAGCAGTCCCTGTGTGAGAGGTGAGGGACACCCTGGACAGGTCTCCAGTCCAGGAACACATGGACACAAACGAGACACCTAGGGACAATTTAGAGTTACCAATCAGTCTAACATGCATGTGTTTGGTCTGTGGGAGGAAACTGGAGTACTCAGAGAAAACCCACTCATGCACGATGAGAACATGCAAACTGCATGAAATTCAACTCCCAGGCTGGGATTTGAACCGGCGACCTTCTCGCTGAAAAGCAACAGATCTACCAGCTGAGCCACTGTGCCAGACTAGATTAAGACTTTTAAGGAATTTCAAAGATTTGACCACAGAATATTCAACTTCGTGTAATGATGTCACGCTAACTACTGAGCTCTTCTTATTTTCCACAGTCTTGACAAATTTTTATAGTTCCTACATCAAAATTATCACAGTCGGCGGTAGGACACAAGTGCAGACAGACACGGAGAACGCAAAGTAAAATAAAAACTGATTTATTAAACGAACAAATGACTTAAAAAATAATACAAGGAGCATGAACAGGAGGACCGAGATATTGAACCATCCGTGAGGGGATGACGAGAGACTGTTGGAGTAGGACCGAGGGTGAGTGGAACGTGGAAGCACCTGGGAAGATTGTGATTAGGAAGTGGTGTGAGTGATAACTGAGCTGGTGCAGCTGAGGGTGAGAGTGAAAACTGGCGAAGGGAACACGGGCTGAAATAAAACACAAGGAACCAAAATAAAAACGTAAATCATGAAAGCAGAACAGAACAACAAAAATGTAGACATTTTAGTTTGTCTCACTGCTGCAGGAACGATGGTTTTCCTTCAGATCCCCCCAGAATGCAACTTTCACAAACTCTCATGGACTTCCATTCTCTTCAAAACAGGAAGTGAGGGGTCTTTTTAACTTGCCATAATCCCTATAAGAAACATGCTAGAATTGTGAAAATTAAAATGTGTGACCACTAGACTCTTCTGACACTTACACTTCAAGCGTTTTTGCTTTTTTAATCAAACTTTTAGTTTCTGTACAGTGACTGTTTGTTTGAGGCCTACTTTCTAGTCTGCATTTCTTCCTGTCTCAGGAAGAGTTTCACAAGGGAGGGACAGACATGGGTTTGATGTTAACATGGCGACCCCAATAAGCCACTAACAGCAACTTTATCTTTTTGTGACACCTGTTGAAGTTCTTTATACAAGTGTTGACATGTTTTCAACATATGACACAAAAGGCTGCCAAGTGTCCCAGAATCTTTTTGCAGAATAGCGTATATCTAATTTTTTCCAGATGAATATAATGCATGACTTCTCTTATCTAATGTTCATATGCCGGAGGGTGTGGGTCCTTCCATCTGCACAAAACGAGCCTCCTAAGCAATCGCATCCTTCTCGTGCTTGCTGAAGGACGTATCCACAGGGACCACCCGGAACAGTGAGCTGAGCGGTGATGGGTGTACAGTTTTTCCACATATCACAGAGAAGGTGTCAAAAATAGCTTGCCAATAGGTCTGCAGTTTGGGGCAAGTCCAGAATATGTGTAAGAGTGTAGCTGGAGTTTGTTTACGATTACATGCAGGATCCAGGTTGGTTTTGATCTTGGTCAGCTCGTCTTTGGACCAGTGCAGCCGGTGCTCCACCTTGAATTGAAATACAGTGTGTCTCAGACAGTTTGAGAATGAAAAAATTTTCCAACTGATCCTTCTCCAGATTGGGTCTGATAGGGATTCCTCCAAGTCCGTTTCCCATTTCAGTTTAAGGGAGTCCAAACTGGTCACTTGGTATGAACTGAACAATGTATAGATCTTGCTGAGCCCCCTTAGTATCAGACACTCATGTAACTTTGAATCTCTTCACTCTTACAATTTATTTATTAAGACATCTGCATTTTGTCAGCTTACATTTGGACAGAACATTTACTGTATGTGACATTTATATGAACATATTGCTTCAGACGTCTCAGAGTGCTTCACATTCCTGAAAACGATGTTTGGGAAGCAGATCATAGATTAAACTTTGCAGTGCACTCAAGTTAAGAAAATATTCAGTGATTTCATGCAATACAAGGAGTAAAATACCAACATTTAGTTGATATGTACCCCATGAACAGTTGAAAACAACAAAACACATAATTAGGTATAACAGCGGCTTAGACCAATGGTTCTGAACTGGTCTGACTTCTGGACCCACCGTCGCCTCTTTATGACAAGTCGCAACCCCATTCACGGTGAATTTTCTGCTTCCTTATTGTTGAATGTAAAGATGGTGCAGTTTGAACTTGAGGTAGTAGAACAGAATATCACAGCTGGTCAACACAAACACACAAGTTTATTGCACAACCAAAACCACGAGCTAATGGAAACGCTAGAGAGAAAAACATTCCCTTTAACGCTTAATTAGCTGTAATTAAAACCAAATACCTTCTGGATGCCTTCTCCTCGAGGACCCTGAGACATATCTGTAAGTTGCTGCTGAGACTTGTCTTCTCTGACGTGGGAACGCTGTGGGAGGAGCTGCAGAATGTTCTCTGAAGAGGAATGCGTTTCTCTCCTGGATGTTTCCTTCATGACTCAACCATAGAAGAGTGGAAGAAAATGGATGCATAGCTGTATAAAAAGAGAAGCAATGTGGCCTCCAATAACCTCCGAGCTAACACTTCCCTTGTAGCCTTTATCAACCTATTCTAATGACACCTAGACACTACAACTACACAGAACACACTTTGCCTTTCCATCCCTCTGACTTTCTGTCTACCCCTCTTACTTATGCACATGCTCGCTCACACCGGCACATTGGGCTCAACTACAATTTAATTTGCTCTGGAAGAGATGGGAAAGAGCATCAAATTATTCCTAACGAGGAAAATCAATCACCTAGGGTGCAGATAAGCTGAAAGCTAGTCAACTCTGATTGATTCAGGCACAACAGCTGCCACGGTGGAATTTGACAGATAACTGCAAGCCCAGGTGGATGAAGAAATGGGTGTAGGGTAAAGAGAGATAGACTTGCAGAAAGAAGAGGCTGGAAGAGAAGAAATTGTGGACCTAGAGAGATACGGCTGGACAAAATGTTGCCTTCAATGGACCAACCTTTGAAGCTTTGGTGAAGCAGGGAGAATGGCCGCTAGGTGAGAAAGAAAGCTCAGATGAAGAGAGAGCAGGAATATTTAGAGGGAGTTCAGTTCATCTATTTTAGAAGAGCTGTTTACCTTCATCTGTGCTGCAGTATGGGTTCTGCCAGTGCGTTGCAAAGAGACGACAAACACACCACACGCCAAAGGAGGTCTTTCTGTAACTTTGTAACCAACACTTTACTGAGTTTAGTGTGGCACTCAAATAGAATCACCGCTAGTTAAGAGACCATCAATGCAAAATTGTTTGTATTGTCCTCCTCTCTGGATGAGGTAGAACCTGTTCTAAAGAGTAGAACCTGCTGAAATGATGCTACAAGTAAAACTGGTGGTACTCTGGATTTTGCTAGTAGTATTCATAAGGAATTTGGTATCATCCATTTATGAGTTTAATAAAAATCAAATTAAGTGTCATTAAAAGAACTGTTACACACCCAGGAACTTTGAATAGAGGTTATAGAGCAGGGGTGTCAAACCCACTTACAAAAAGGGTCCAACATTAAAACCTTTTTCAAACTAAGGTCCAGTTTCAGAATCTACATTAACTCGAGTTCGATCCCCAACATCGTTTATGGGTTGCAGGTTCCACAACAAGAGTTTGATTGGTGTCATTTGATGTTCCCTGTTGCACTTTGGACATCATAATCAGATTCTGCTGAAAAAACTTAGTGATAAAAGTATTTTACATTTAAAACAACATCTTGGGGACCAGATAAGATGTCAACGAGGGCCACATTTGGCCCCTGGGCCTTGAGTTTGACACATGTTATGGAGGGACCACTATCTGTCACAAAGTGGAACTCATTCCTTGCAGGACTCTGTTGGGGCTTCCCCTCATCTCTGATCCTGTTTTGATGTTCATGGAGAGGACTGAAGGTGCAGTTGTGGAGAAGAGGGTGTCAGCTTTGCAAACCTCAAAGTCTATTTTCTCTTTTTGCAGATGATGTGACCTTCAGCATGCAGTGGGGCGGTTTTATGGCAGAGTGTGAAGGTTGAGGGTCAGCTCCTCTAAGTCTGAGGTCAGGGTTCTCAACTGGACTCTTCCCTTCCAGATTGGGAATGTGTCTTTGTCTCAAGCAGAGGAGTTCAAATCTTGTTCATGAGTTATGATAGGATGCAGTGGGAGATGGGTTGATAGATCATCTGCAGTAATGAGGATGTTGCTCTGGTCAGACATGGTGAGGAATTAGCTAAGTCAAATGACAAAGCTCTTAGAATGTAGACAGACCACTAACTAACTCTCACCTGTGGTCATGGTGTTTGACTCATGTGCAGCTGAGATTAATGGTCGGGTTTAGCCTTAAAAACAAGATCAGGAGCTCTGTCATTCAAGAGGATCTTGGAGTAGAGCTGCTGCCCCTCCGCACTGAAAGGAGACAGCTGAGGGACATCTAATTAAGATGCTTCTCTGGAGGTTTTCCAGGAATGTCCCAGTAAGCAAAGACCCTGGGACAAACTGCAGGAGGGATAGTACATCCTCTGGTCTGCGAACAGTTTGTGAATCCCAGGAGGAGCTGGAGGGTGCTGCTGAACCATGGGATGTCTGGGGTTCCCTCCCCTACCTGTTGCCTTCACTACTGGACCACGAATAATCAGAGGAGGATGGATGGATAATTAACTGTGATGTAAGCCATAAAGAAGAGAAAGACAAAAAGACAGCTGGTCTTAATATATAACAATCTGCTCCAAAATTATCAAATCTAAAAATGTAATGGAGAATATTCTAAGAACACCCGTGGAAACTTTAGTGAACGGTGGTTAACTGAGATAAACAAAATGATGCAAGACCGTGAAGGAATTTGATTAAAGCTGTTTCAGATTTGTATTCAGTTGTTGTGGGACAGAGGAAGAGCCAAGACTTGTGTGTATGTGGTTCTTTTTTCATCAATGGATCTATAATATCTTAAACTACACCTTCAACCGGAGTTGGGATTAGAGGTTAGGTTGAATTGCTTATATCAGTTTGTAAATACTCGAAACACGTTGGATTTAGGGTGGTACAGTAGTCCCTCGCTACTTCGAGGTTCGTATATCGCAGATTCGCTCTATCGCGGTTTTTCAAAATAAGATTGGACATGACGCACAACTGGCTGATTGATGGATGAGCCGCACGATCGACATTAAATTTTTATTTAAAATAAATTATTTTAAATTATTTAGCACTTGCTGCATCTTTATCCAGCAGTAAGGGCTGCACAAACTTCCTACTGCAGCTGATCAGCTGTTCTCTGTTCTGAGCTGAGAAGTGGGCGTGGCCAAGAGCGCTTGCAGGTGGCTGAGAGCAGAGGAGGCAGGGAGCTGAAATTATGACATTCCGGGTCTTTTAGAGCTTTAGAGTTTAGAAACAATGTTTAGAATATTGCAAGAGTGTGGGAAGGGTTTATATATATATATATATATATATATATATATATATAAAAAAATATTTAAATAAATGGATATATATATTATACACACTAAAATAAACTACTACTTGTAATACTTTTCCTACTTCGCGGTTTTTCATTTTTCGGGGGGCTTCAGGGTACGGATCCCCCACGATAAACGATTCACCGCTGTACTTGGAAAGCATTGGATTTTATGAGGTGGTACTTGTTATAAAATTAGTAAAACCATTGTATGAAAAGATTTCTGTCATCTTTTTACTGCTCTTTGTATTTTTAAATATGCAGTTCGTGATATATACTCAATCTCATTGATACAATACTACACGTGTTTAGTAAAATTACTTTTCCATGTGTGAGGAACAACAACGTACGTGTAATTTCTCAATGATTCTTGTTGTTGTTGCACCTTTTTCTCTGTCTTCCCATCCGATGTTGCCTCTGTATCTTCTGCTCGGCTGGCATCTTTAAAACTTTTGCCGTCAGAACTTGTCGTTGAACTTTGTGGCAGATGAGTCTGACAGGATGCTTTTATTGGGAGCTTCTAAAGGCAGCACCAAATGGACGGGCAATTACGTTTATGGGCAGTTTGAGGTGACATCCCTGCATATTGGATGGTCTTTTAAATAGGAGTCATCAGCTACAATGGTTCTTCCAGAGATGAAAACAAAAACAAGGGGGCAATTTCAACTGTCAGCATAATGCCAATCGACCACTCTGCCCGTCTTCTCCGTTCGCCACAATGACTACGTGATTGGCCGCCCCACAGCTTTATATATCAAACAAGGACTGCTTTGGAGATTTTTTTCTTTTACCTCAAGACAGCCACAGCTAAGAGCAGTGATGTCACACCCTAAATTGGTTTAGATTTCCCCATGATGCTTTTGCTGTTAGAGCTTTATTTTAGAGAAAGATGGGGTTTTTTTTTTTTGGTTTAAATGTTTCGTCTAACCACTAATCAGACAATACTAAGCTTGTTTCATACCCCAACCCAGCAGTTGATCACATACTAATTCTAAAACATACTTTCATGATAACATAATATTCATAATCACAAACATTGTCTTGGCAACTTGTACTGTGGTGAGCTGGAACAGAAATGCTAAATTATGTATCTGTATTGAGGCAGATAGTCATGGTTGTCATTGCGCATCACTTCAGGCCTTCTGTGTTTGTCTCTTAAATCACACAATATGATTAAAGTACATGGTTTTAACGGTCTTCACCAGCTTTGTGATCATTCAGTCGGACTTACTTTCTGCAGCCTCGTGGGCAGTGTGCAGGGATTTATTCTGTTGCATTCAAATGTTGTGCTATAAGATGGCACAGCACAGGGTTACATGGTGGAGATGGAGAAGAGATGAATGTGTGCTTATGAACAATCGTTGGATTCTTTTTTCTTCTTCTCACTGTTTAATCTTGTCACATTTGTTTTATTTGAAAATTTGGTAGTTTTATTACTTAGTGCCTTCTGAGTTTATCCATCCTTTAGATTGTACATACAGCAGAGGTCCCTGACCCTGATCTTTGTGGAACCACTGTCCTTCATGGTTTAGATGTTTCCCTGCTTCAACACACCTGACTGAAATGAACGAGTCAGTGCCAGGCTTCTGCTAAACTTGATGACATTCTGAGTAGGTATTTTAATTATTTGGGGACCTTTGCTATACACTATATACTGAGTTGGGAAGTAGTACGTTCAGAGTTTCACAGGTGGCTCTTGGCTCCTTGTTGTCATTTAAAAAATTTTGTCCAGACAATAAAAAAATATATTAGTTTCAGAGTGAGCTAAAGCCCTATTTGCATGGGATTACTTTTACCTAGGGACCACATGCTATTTGTAATAATTACGGAGATTGTCTGCGTTGTTAATCCCGTGTGAATCGGCCATGTCAGTAATTTGTAAAGTAAAAATTATCTACTATATTTTGCTGAGCTCTGAGGTCCTGTGATGATACTAGTCCAATGTGAATAGGCATCTCTGTGATTTGGACAGAAATGGGCGGGATCTGATACGTAATTAGGCAGTTTTTGTTTCCTGGACGCATTTTTATTTGCTTTTGGCAATGGAGACTGCATTGGAGTGCATAAAAAACCTTTTGTGTCCCGGACCAGCAAAAACCTATTGACCCGTAACGGTCGCCAAAAAAAAAAAAGAAAGAAAAGGTTGAAGAGAAGGAACAAAATCAAGCGGATGTTACGCTATTCGCAGCACGTTAACATCATATCCGAAAGATGTTCGTAAATTTCAGCTATAAGCTTTGGTTATCACGTGCAAATGTACCACATAAAAAGCAGACATTGGGGAGTAATTTATTTATTACATGTGGTCCCTAAGTAAAACTAATCCCATGTGAATGGGGCTTAAGATAAATAGAGGTGGTGCTTTTGGACTTCATGGGACCACATCAGTCCTTATAACCTTTTTTTTTTTTTGCACTGACTGTCTTGTGGCTGTTAGTACTATTAATAAATGTATATGATCCTTTTAGCTCCTCTTTCCAATGACCCACAACATACAGCTGCAACTATGGCATCCATTGTAGTCATTGATGAAGGGCACATGTAAGTGTCATGGCCCAACGTGCTGAGTGTTACATAATTACAGTGTTCGCCTGGTGGTGTGAAAGCAAACGGGTCTTTTTCACCATTTATAGTGAGAGCAATAGTCCTTATGGTCCATGTAACTGTTTTCCAAAAAGAGGTGTCAAGTGTTTATACTACCAAAAATGATCATATCAGACTTGAACTAGTGTAGATTCACAGTCCTAAAGGACACGGTAAACGCAAAACAGTACATTACAAATCATAATAACTGAAGTCCATTTGTTTTCATTTACTGACGTCTCAGACTGGTTATCATTTAAATGAGAAGAGTTCACCTCATTAATACAGTTTATAAGGGGCATTCCCTGTATGAGTCATCAAGACTTAAAGGCATGTAAATCTGGGTGTCATCTGCATAACGGTGAAATAAAGTATTTAAAGAAGACTTAATCTAATTAAAGTATGAACGGTAAATAAAATTGACTCTAAGATGGATCCTTGAGGAACTCCACAACGATAGGTTTGCCAAGTGATAATTAACCCTTACTTGAACCATAGCACAGATTGTTTTTGATTAACACAAAAGTTCAGAACATGTGATGTTGATTTTAAAGATGTCTTTGTTTGTTGTTTTCCTTCCTCAGGGGGTGAACAGTATGTTCCAGGTGTTTCTGACAGGAAACAACTCCGAGTACTTCACCATCTCACCAACAGCAGTACAGGGCCGAGCCGACATCCGGGTGAGGGTTGCCATGCCACTCGACTACGAGACGATTCGGAGCTTCAGCTATTCAGTGAGTTCAGTTTTTCTGTTTTGTTTCTTTAACATATAATCACTTCACAGCATAAGTCATCACATGGCACCATACAAAACACAAACAGGTCCATAAAATGATCTTGGTTATGATCTGAAGCAGGACATTTCATGCATTTAAGGAGTGTCAGGCCTTTATTTTCTGATTTTTGCCCAAAATATTGAATGGACCAGAATCCAATAGACATCCTAGTCTAAAGAACTTCTTCAAAGTTTAATGGGAAGCAATTTATTTTAGAAATAAATTCAATAGATAATATCAAAATATAAAAATGAGTATTTTTCCTTTAAATGTGTTTTAATCAGAGGAACTTTATTTTTCAGCTCTTTGCCAACGAGTCCATGTCAGACCATGTAGGTTTCGCCAGAGTCTTTATCGACCTGATCAACGAGAACGACAACCGTCCCATCTTCAGCAAACCACTGTACAACATCAGCCTCCCTGAAAACTCCCCTCCTGGTATGGCCGTGCTGAAGGTCCTGGTGAGTGTCTGCGTCTTTGCAAAGCTGCGAGGAAAAGGAATGACTCCAGGAGAGCTTCTTGTTGACGTGTCGTATTCCTGGAGAGGAATTCTGTGAACTAACACTTGTGATGGTTAATTTAGACATCGGCTAATATTTTCAGACATCGTCCATGTTTGTCAGCACAAACTTTGACTTTAAACACTGACGAGGATTGTTTAGGTCTAGTTTAGTCCAAAAGAGTCGTCTTTTTAAACTGGTTAAACTGGTGCAGAGCTCGTTTTAACGTTCCTCAAGAACCACGACTAAAACTCAGTTTTGCTTTCATTCATTTGAAGTTGTTTTGTTCGTTGAGGCCAGAACTGAGACGCCTCCGGGGGCTGCTTCTTGCCCTCAGCCTTATTTTGACTGTGTGTGCTCCAGAAACGGACCGTTAGCTAAATGTTGCGCAACGCTAGAAACCTGGCATCTTAAGGTTTAGTCTTAAAACATGTTCAGCTTTTTGTCTTGACTGGAACAGATTTACAGATCAAAGTTGTTTTGATTAAAGTTAACAGTTAACGTTCATGAAGCCTTCTCACTACCGTGATCCAGGTTCGTTTTTCAGCTTCTTTCTCATCCCACGGTTTCAGCCATTTCAACAAATCATGAATCAAAACCTTCAGCTCTTTCAGGACAATCCTGCTATGACTTTTGGTATTGGTGCAACTTTAGCTTTTTAAAATATTTAGCCTTTTCTAATGTTTTTTTTTTTTTTTTTTTGTCATAGAAAATGAATTGAGCTCATTTTACATCCTTCAGATCTTTAGCTCTGTTTACAACCTTTAACTGCTCCTTTCACATTTTGTTCTGCTTCAGCTTCTTTCAGCTTCCTTGTGCAAATTTAAACATTTTTTTCAGCTACTTTCAGCAGGTTTTTTTCAGCTGTTTTGTGCTCCTTTCTGATTCTTTCTGCTAACTACAATATTTTTGTGCTTCTAACTTCTTTCTGCTAATTTCAGCTTGTTATGCTTATTTCAGCTTATTTCAAAAAGTTTCAGCTTTTTCTATTTCTGCTACTGTATAGTTTTATGCTAATTTTAGCCTTTTCAGCTAATTTCACAATTTTTGCACTCATTTCTACTTTTTTCAGCCTAATTCAGCAAAAATGTGCTCTCCACTTTCTTCAGGTGATTTAAGCTTTTTTTGCTTTTTAGGTACTTTCAGCTGTTTTTTTTTTTTTTTTGCTAATTTCAGCTTTTTCCAGATAATTTCCACTTTTTGTGCTAATTTCTTCTTGTTTCAGCTTAATTGGGCAAACATGCTCTCTTTCCTTCCTTCTGCTAATTTAAGCTTGTTCTACCTTTTCAGCTAGCTTATTAGCTAATTTCAGCTGTTTTCAGATAAATTAAAGTTTTTGTGGTAATTTCTGCTTCTTTCAGCCTAATTCACTTGTTTCTGCTAATTTCAGCTTGTTATGCTCCTTTCAGCTTTTTCTGCAATTCCAGCTACTGTTTTGTGCTAATTTTAGCTTTTTCAGCTAATTCCACATTTTTAGCTCATTTCAGCCATTTCTGCTTTCTTCTGGTAGTTTCAGCTTTTTTCTGACTTGTCAGCTACTTTTTGATACTTTCAGATTTTTTCTGCTAATTTTTGTGCTCATTTCTTCTTATTTAAACTTAATTCAGCAAATATATGTTCATTCTGCTTTCTTCTGCTAATTTATGCTTGTTCTTCCATTTCAGGTCCCGGTACATTTCTGCATTTTTTTAATTAATTAATTTCTTTTTTAGCTAATTTCGGCTGTTTTTCAGCAAGTTCTTCTGCAATAATTATTCACACTGCATTTTCAGAGGAAATGCAGTTTCTCTAGTTTGATTTATAGTAAATGTACCTGTGCTTTGAGGGTCTGGATGAGAAAAGATTTTTGAAAGTGGAAATATGTGAGCAAACATACTAAAATCCACTTTGTATATTTGATTTTTCCGAGTGTTATTGGGAATAAAATACTTGCTGTGCCTGGCACTGGTGACCCTGCCCTCTTGAGACTCCGTCTTATGTGGGAATATTTATGTTGCCTCTTATCGAAAGAGAAAACGCTAATGAGTCCTTCTTACCCACCTGGAGCACCGGGTCATGCTTGGCTCAAAGGCGTACAGTGGAAGTCCTTTAATAAAAACATGTGGTTTCTTGAGCATGCAAGTGCAGAGCATCGTTCGGGTAAGATAAAGGAATTCAATTATTACCCTGAAATTGCTGCTTGTAGCTTGAGTTGAAACTTTCATGTTCTATAAAAGAGAAACACATTTACAAGAAAAAAAAATGTTTCAAATTAGATTTCTATTTCAAAATACTGGAGATTTTACTGCTGTTTGGAATGAACATTTTTTAAAACACGTGAACAAATGTGTCCCCCCCCCCCCCTCCCCCCGCATGTTGTAGCTTCGGTTTAGCCTCTCGTAGTTTAAGTATCCTTGATGGCGTTTCACCGTATGTCCCGGGGTTCAGCCGAGCTCAGCCTGAGCTTCTGTTCAGACCAGCAGTCGCTGTTTTAACCTTATCGGGGAAAAAAATCTGAGCGTCTCCACACGACTCTGCATTATTATTCATTACCAGTCACTCCTGTGACAATCCACAACCCACTAGACACAAGTGCCAAAAAGCACAGTGTGAAAATCAATAGTGTTTATAGACTGGGTGCTCATGAAATGGAGATTGCAACGCCTAATACCTGATAAGTCCAGCTGATGTTGGCTCCATACTGCAGCGTGCGGCCTGCCGTTGAATCCTGATTGCCGGCAGCGGAGCATGAATGGGCGGTGAACAGAATGAGATGAGGTGGATTTTGGTTGATGTCTCTATACTGACATGGAGTTGATCAGTACAGCTTCTATAGAAGGATACCACTCAAGGAAACGCAACTTTTGGTCCAAAGTCAAAACTCCTGGTTGTGCAGGCGTATAAAAATGATGACAAATATTCCAGATTAATATTTCCGTTGAAAGCGTGGACGTATTATGGTGTAGTCTCTGTTTGTGCATACGTATGTCTGTAAATCACCAAAAAAGGGTTAAATCAGGTCGTCTTTAGGAAAAATGTTTCGTCTTTCATCCGAAAGACTTCATGAGTCTGAGGCCTGCCATCTTAGATGTGTCTTATAAATAGCACTTCATTGATGGGTTTCAAGCCAACACTCTGTAGAATTCCCAGTAACTGGTTTTTATACATGCAAACAGGGGACCATCCGTCCAACACAACCAGTCATCATCATGTACAACAGTCCAATGTTTTAGGCCAGATGTCCAACTTGCTACTCACAGAAACATCCTGAGGACACCTGGCCTAAATGGTGCTGTCAAACCTTCATCTGATCTGCTTAACTTCTGATTTGCTCAAGATATGGGGGCCGAGATGGTGTAGAGGCAGGGCAGCCGGCTTGGGACCCGAAAGTCCCAGGTTCGATCCTCAGTCACTGCATACCGCGTGGTGTCTCTGGGCAGCACACCTCATCCTCAAAATGCCCCCCGGGAACTTTCAATAGCTGCCCACTGCACCACCTGGTGGTGGATGGGTTAAATGCAGAGACTAATTTCACCATTGTTTGGAAACATACAGTGATTGTGATGACATCATTATTATTATTATTATAATTTAATAAAACTTCATACACATGTGCAACAAACCGTGTCGTATAATCTTTTCATCACCCCAGCTCCAAGATCAAGGTTACAAATCAAGGTCAAAGTTAAAAGAAGGTCTTTGCTCATCTGGGCCAATACCATAGACTGCTGTTTAATAAGTTATGGACCGGTGTATAATGTGCCGTATAGTGCTCTTGTTTGTACGGTAATTGAAATCTGCACAAGCCCATGAAGCAAAGAGTGACTGTAGCTGTGTTGGACTTTAAACAGGACTGAACGCTATAAACCTCTTTTAGACTTTTGAAAACCAGATGCTCTTTTCCTGCCTCAGTGTTGTGTGTTAAACAAGTAAAGCCGGAGACGCAGAGTCTTTACAGATTTAGAAAAGTTGTGAGTCCACACTTACAGACTGGTTTCTTCAGATTTTTGTGTCTTTCAGCTGCTCCCTCTTCAGGGGTCTCCACATCAAGTCCTCCTCCTCCATCTCACTCTGTACAGTAGGAAGAATAGTTTCCTCAAAGGACTGGGGTGGCTGAAGATTAATCTAAGATGGCCAAGGCCCCCATTGGCCACCCCCTGACTCCTCATTGCCCCACTGGTCAAGATCTGTCACTCTACACAGCCTCAGACAAGAAAAAAAGTTAAAAAATAAAAAATAAACTCACCTACTTGAATGTCTTTCACCAAAAAAACATTTACCATATTTTCCACCATAAACGTCGCACCGAGTCACATCAGTCCAGATGTGTCTAATAAAGTGGAAAAATCCATAAATAGCCGTATACGTCGCATCTATTATGCGTCACAGCTGACGCGTCGCGTTTGTTCCGCTTCACCGGCAGGACATTAACAAGAATTTAACAAGATTAACGCTTAAAAACAATTATTTGTTTACTCGAAATTATAGCAAAGGTTTGTCTCAGTTGAACTTTTCCTTAATAAACAATAAAATAATAAAAAATAAAAGTGAAATGAAGCTGATTTGACGGTTGCTCCAGGCGACCTGGATGACGGTGGCAGGCTAAGGCAAGCCGATTGTGTCATTAATAGCCGCTTTTACCCATTACATGACGCAACACATGCCGTACTACTCGAGTGCCATCTAGTGGCTGAAAATGGTAGTGTTCAATATTTTAAGTCCGAATGAATGAAAACTGTCATGTCAGCCAAAAAACGGTTTATAAATATGGGAAAAAATCCATAAATACGTTGCGTTGGCGTGTAAGTTGCAGGGCATGCAAAGTATGCAACAACAAAAAACGTGACTTATAGGCCAAAAAATATGGTAGGTTTACTTGCATTCTCTGTTCAGTTGCAGTCTAGAAAAACACTTCTCTCCAAAACTAACATTCACTAATGAAACCCCTCAGTGACGGGGGACATGGGTGGCTTGTCTTGTTT